CTCCCCCCCGCCGCCCCCCCCTGCCCCAGGCTGCTGCTGGAGCTGCAGGGAACGAGGCTTCCCGGAGGAGTGTGGCTCTAGCAGCTTTCCCACCTCTCCCCTGTGATGGCTTTGACAGATCTCCTGCAATCAGGCTCCACACACAGGCTCCTGCCCAGGCTCACCATCTGCTGCACTCCCTGCCAGCCAGGAGCGATTCCACCCCCAAAGCAGCACAGCTCATCCACCCCCACTGCTGTCCTGAACCTGCACCCTGTCCTCAGGGGGTCTGCACGGGGGAGAGCCTCACACCCCTGCCAGGAGGGCAGGTCCTGCCCCCAGGCCCAACTGCAGCACACCCCCAGCTCCTCCCGAGCCATCAGCACCCTGGAGCTGCTCCGGCTGCTTGGACCAGAGCTGCACCAGGCAAAATGAGCATGTAAAGCATTGTGAGGGCTCTGTTGAGGGGGAAAACCCAACCCAGGAGCTGTCCCAGGCTGTACCTGGAGGATCACATCCTGCTCACTGCCCCCCCAGCCTCAGGGACCCACGTGCCAGCAGCAAAGTGTCCCCAGGACTGGGCTGGTTCATCGAATCCCAGACTCGTTTGGGCTGGAAGGGCCTTAGAGCTCCTCCAGTCCCACCCCTGCCATGGGCAGGGACACACCCTGCGAGCCCAGATGCCACACAGCTATGCCAGGACCCTGCCTAAACCACCTGGGGCACAAGTAATCCAGTGATGCCCAAACCAAGGCAGGGCCAGGGCAGCAAGAGGACGAGTGCTATGGCACTCAGGGTTACCCAGCACAAGGTGTGGAGGACTCCCAGCAGGAGGCTGGAAATGCAAAGTCTGCCTGCTGAATATGTGAAAGTTAAAACCCCCATTTAGAAGTCTTTTGAGGTTTCTCCATTGTTTGCTAATTAAAAAAAACAGGAAGGCAGATTCTCCCACGATAAGCTCTTGGAGTCAGTTACTTGCACTGCTCTTCACATCCTGCCAGCCCAAACTTGCTCTCAGTGCAGAAATTGAGGTAAAGCAGTGGCCCTGGGTTTGCTGAAAGCCTGAGTGGGGCACACCAAATGGCACCACCAGCAGCAGCAACTGGGGGATACTCAAAGTTGGACCTATGGCTGAGCTCAGGGAGGTCTTGGATTTCTGGTGGTAACATGAAAATGCACAAAAAGGGGAAAGAAATCAGCGTCACCTCAGTGAGAAATAGTTACAGGAAAGTAACATACCTTAACGAGAGCAACTGTAAGACATAACCAACAAAATCTGCTGTCTAGGCTCCCGGGAGCAAGGTGGCAAGAGAAGCCCTTGTGCTATCTCCAAGGGCTCAGGGAGCACTGGAGGAGCACACACTGCTCCAGCCTGGCACACGTGGGGCAGCTCCAGAGACTGCCCGCAGTGATCACCCAGCCACATCCCTCTCTGCCTGTCCCTCAGACCCTGCCCGCACGCTCTGTGGGGCCCGGGCTGTGTCCTTGCTCTGGCCTCCCGAGGAACCCAGTGCTCCTCCTGCAGAGCAGCACTCCCCGACACAAGTGTCCCTGCAGTGGTTCCTGACAGATGTTTCTGTTACTGTGTCCATTTCCAACCCCACTCCCTGCCCTGGCTGCCGAGATTTTTGCTCACTAAACTGCATGTCAAACTGTATTTTGTGCTTAGCACCTGATCTTCAAGACTCCCTCAATAGTAAGTAAAACCTCAGCAGAAGATGCTCCTGTAGCTGAAGAGCCTGGCCTGAAGGAGCTGCTCAAAGCACACTCGGCGACCAGCCCTGAAAGAGCAGCAGGGCAGAAGGGAGTTGGCAGGCAGGTCAGTGTGAGTCACTCAGCCACAGCACAGCCGTGAGGAGGGTAGGGCGACGCTGGCAGGAACCTGCACTCTGTGGCAGCACAGGAAACCTTCCACACTCCCTTCAGAGGCACTGAGACCAGGGAGCCCCCGTGTGCAGCACCCTCTCCCCCAGAGCTTCCAGCTGCCACGGACAGGGATGGCGACACCAGGCAGGGGCACTGCTGGCTCTGCCACACGCCCCAGCCCAGGCTGTGTCCCAGCACAGCTCTGCCCTCACTGCCTCCCTGTCAGGCAGAACCACGTCCCTGTGTGCTGGCGAGTCAAGAGCCACAAAACACGGGGAAAAACACGACCAAAGGGCAAACCTTCCAAATGAACTCAGCTGGCAATACTTCACCCTGTATTCCTGATTCGACCAGTTCAATCAGAAACATGCACAGATTTGGAGGATTAATTTGATCAAGAAAGCAAGCAGCACTCAGGCTCCTGTTTGCAACAGGTCACAGCACCAGAGGTTTGTTTAAAGTAAGAGAAAGAGATTACAGCCCCGGGCTTCGATCAGGGCTATTAGTCTGTATCACTACAAGCTACCTCGTGCAGTTAGAGCCCCAGGTCTGCCCCCAAGCCCCGGGTTACGGCACATGCAGCGTATGGGTGCAAACAAATTCATTTACCCATGACCAAGGTGGGGAATATGACCTTTTCACGCCTAGTGGAGAGAAAGGGAAAGTTTATGTACACAAAACAGACATTGCTGAGCATGCCCTTGAAGCACGAACGGGGGCTCAGCAAAGCTGTTCAACCAGACCTCAAAACCCCTCCTCCCTGACCTCTGCACAGCGAGACCGCTCCGCACGGCCGCGGGCACCTAAGCACAGTACAGGCACGGGAGGACTCCCCTGCACCTGAGGCACCCACGGGTCCCCCTTTTCCAGGGAAGCTGTTTCATGAGGTGCACCAGGGGCCAAGAAAAGACCCAGATTTCGCAGCCTGGTGCATTGTGACCAGGCTGTGGTAACAGTGCACTGTGCAGATACACCTACATGCTTCAGGGACTGTTACACGTGTGCAAACACCTTCTCATGTTCGAACCTCAGCTCGTTTCGTGAAACCAAAGCCTGAGAGAGTCACAAAACAACCTAAGGATAAACATCAGCTACAAGGACCTCGCAGAGTGTGGGAAGGGGAACAGGGAGTTACAGAGCAGCCCACGTTGGCTCAGGTGCTGTCTCAGTGCCAGGCCTCTGCAGGGCCCACCATGGCCAGAGCCCTTTGCTCCCCAAATGGACCAATTAGTAACCAACTAAGAGCAATTATAAAAGCCAAAACGAAGCATCTCTCCAAGAACATCCTAGGTGCTGTTCTGCCATTCCCTGGCAGCTGGACAGAAGCAGCATGTTCCTCAAGGAGCAAGCCTGCAGGAAACTGATCTGACACCTGCTTCTGACAAAGCAGGGAAGTCCTGACTCTTCCAACTCTTCCACAGAGCTTTGGTGCAAGCTCTGCTGTCCCCCAGGCCTCCCCCAAAGCAGTACTGCCCAGTTCCAGCTCCTGCCTGGCACTGGCTCCAGTTGCCTGCCCAGCTCCGCTCTGCCAGCAGAGAGAGGGGGCTTGACAGGAGGGAGACACCCCATTTTAACCAACCAAATGGCAGAAGGAAAGCAAACAGAGCTGTAGTAATGTGGCTGAGTTCTCTCTGCCCCAGTCCCACCACTCAATCACCATCTATTCTTCAGGCTGCAGACTGGATCAGACCTACAATCACACGTGGCTCAGGGGCAGAGTCCAGGGGCTGCAGAGGGG